TAACAGTAGCAAATCTAATACTTTTCTTGATTATTATCCTAAAACAAATATTATACTTAACTAAACAGCATCGGACCTCAAGAACCAAACCAGATTTAAAACTATACTAGAAAAGGAGTCAAAATACAAAGATTTGGGGGGGGGGGGGTTGAATCAAAATACAAAGATGGGGGTTCTTACCATTTCAAGAGCACAAGCAGTAGGGAAGGCGGCGAGGCGATTACCACCAAAGAGTTCACAAGTAGCAACACACATAACTGGAGGGGCTCTTTTAGCACCTTTTGCAAGAACAGAATACCTCATGGCCTCATAAATCTTATCCGGATATTGGATAGAAACAGCTTGGTCTAGTTCCTGATTGATTTCTCCAATCAAGGTTGTCCAATAAGTCTTTAAATCAAACTGGGCTGTCTTTGATTGGATCGAAACTGATAAAGAACATTGAATTTTTGACATTTTGCCAAGTTTTTTAGTGTAAAGATTGGGGCTTTTTACAGGGAGGTAGATGGTAGTAGTAAGTGGTGATGGTATTGCTATAAGAGAAGATACCACCATTTTTACAGAGTTCTTTGTTTATCTGACCGCTGATTATGTGTCTCTTTGGTCTTTAGAAAGATTGCGCTTTTCTATGTGGGAACAGGAAATGAGAAATGTGGAAAGTTTGTCTTTGAATTGAGAATCCGGTGCCGTTATGATGGCTTTCATGTATATTTCGATTAATTTTATAAAAAGTTAATTATTATATAAATTTTAATAACCATTATATAAACAACGAATTTAACCCTAAAATCACAGAAAAAATAAATTTTTTAATATTAAGTTCTTACCGCTACCACCACCTAGATGGTTTTATGATGGCTTTCATTGACTAGGCGTGTGATGGATTGGAGATTTGGAGTGTAGCGAACTTGAGAAGATGCGGCTGTTAACGAAGGTAAAGGTTTTTTTTTGTTTCCTCGAGTCAATAAAAACTCGGTGGTGTCAAAGTTTTATCTAATTCAAATAAAAACGTAACCTAAATTAAGATTTATTTTTTAAATGGATATTAAATTAACAAATCTCTGAAAAATATGTTATTACAACTGCGGCGAGAAATCCAACATGATCGTTTCAAGAAGCTTTTCAGAGGAAGATCATAACATAACTGAAGAGTAACAGGAGAGTAGTGAGGTTGGCATCATCAACGGACTGGTCCTATATCATTTCCGTAGATTCCCTTGATCTCCTGCCGCTATGTCGGACGGAAGCTCCAGACAGTCCGACAACCCAATTCATGAGGTACGGTTGTGTACAGTGCAGTCATTTCCACCCATGTAAATCAAGTGATGTTGAAAGCATTCCATGAGAAATAAATTGGGAAGGGATATTAGAGATTTGGGGAGAGAATGAAGAGAGAGACAGTTCTTGATTAAAGGGGGTGTTTGGGATTTTGTCAATTTTATTAAAATTAAAGGCATTCCATGTAATTATTAAAAATACATGTTCCATTCTCTCATATATACGATTCAATTTCTACTAGTAAAAATAAATTCCAGAAAGTAAAATAAATAATAACAATTGATTTTAATTGCTAAACTTTAATATTATAAATATCTATATATAAAAAGACCCACTTTATAGCCCATGATCTAGAATTCATGACACTTGAGACATTAATAGAAGTTAAAAGCTTTCCTTTAGAAATATTTGGAAACAAGATTATTGAACTGATCTGGTTTAGCTGATTAATTTGATAATTGATTAATTAACTTGAATTAAATTTTTTTTATGAAACAACATCCTTTCAAAAAAATTAAAATAATATCATTTTAAAAATATATTTTTTTTTATTTAATATAAATTATTTCAACAATTACATCAAGAATTATATAACAGCAGGCTGGGAATCATTTTTTAGCAAAATGAATTGCACTGGTAGGGTTCAAAATTGTGTTCAGAATAAAATACTTAGATTCGTTTTATTAATTATATTATATAGCTAGAACCATTGACGTGGAAAGAAAGAAACTTTTGTTATAAAATTTTAAACCACTGACACAATTAATCTTTAATTCAACAAAAGAACACTCTTTAGATGACTGTGATGATGAGTTTTAATTAATTTCCTATTTACCCACCACCACCAGGACTACAAATATCTACCAAATACAGGGTAATTAAGGATTAATATGGGTTTTAATTAAAAAATTTAACCACATGCGCTGTTAATTAAGGATCAATACTCTCTACTCACATTTTTTTTCCAATTTTTATAGGATAAGACAACTGGAGATTGGCAATTCTTAATCGGTGAACAACGAACTGTTCTTGAATATTGGGATTCTCGTGCATTCAAGATTGAGTTGAATAATTTCGCTTCCTCCGTTGATTGGGGAGGAGAAGTTTATGGTCCTGCCAAGTGGCACCAATGGGAGTTGATGTTGCAGTTTCCAGCAACCCACACCGGCACACAAATGATGAAAAACGTTCATTTACAAGCACGGCCGAAGACATCCACCATGTCTAGATACCATCAACAAACCATTGAACCCAGAACAGAGTCACATTCACATCCACCACCACGTATACCCAACCCACCCCCACCACCACAAACCCAATCCACCCCCACCATCATAGACGCCTCAGCCACTGCCTAGAAAAAAACCCAACCGTTCTCCAGCCCTAGAAATAAAAGCTAGTGTCATTTTTTGGGAAATAAAAAAATCTTTTTTGTAGTCAGGTAGACGTTGATTAAAAAGAAAATAAGATTAGAAATGATTTAAAAAAATATTTAATTTTAAAAAACTTACTTTTAACAACAAATCTAAACAAACAGATTTTGTAACCATTAATGTTAAATAAAGTAGCAATAATAAATATTAATGAATCTTTTTCAAATCATTAAACCGCATAACTATTTAAGATGCTCGCCACAATTCTCCATGGAGACCCCATACCGTGTTTAATTCAGTAAAGAACGAAGAACATCCCATGATCCCGTACAACGAACAGGAACACTCGAACCAGTAATGTAGGACGTACAATGAACAGTACGATTTGGACTAGTATTGTAGGGCTTTACCCCAAAGGGAGCCCTTCCAGAAATTCTCGAAGGCACTGAGCCAAACCCAGTGCCTAAGAGGGGGTTTGGAAATAGTTTTCAACCAGCAATTGACGCGCCTCGGTTAGAACCTCACTAGCTGCGTCATTGCCCCAAGCGCAAAGATGGAGAACAACGTTTATCAGCTCTCATTTTATAGGGCACCATTTGTTTCCCTGCTTTGTTTCTTCTCGATGTGGGATTTGAACTCTGACACGGATGACCCTCTAAACTTGCATTGTATGGCTTTACCCTGGGGATACTTGCTGAGGAGGGCCAACGACAATCGTGTCTCAAACGGCAACAGATGCGCCTTGCCTGAACTCCCCCGGCGGCATCACTGCTCCAACTATCAATATATTTTCAGCACTGCAACTTTGGCTCTTCTTTCGCAGCACAGGTAATGATCATGAGCAAACACGGGGACTTCTCCTTCTGTTAGGCATGTATTTCCAAATAAATTGTCTCTGAAAAAAATGATAAATTGTTCAGAAAAACAAATCCAATACAACTTATTGGTGAACCCAAATGGATATAAAAGGTCATTTCATGGTAGGAAATATTTACAACTGTGTAATTAGCATGTATAATTGGTGTAACTATTGAGCTAACCAAAATAATTCAAAAAACACCAAGATAAATCGAATAAATTCAATGAATATAAGAATTAATTGGTAAAAATTTAGAATATAAGAATAAAAATGAGTATAAGAATTAATTGATCAAAATTTAAAAGAATAGGATAGAAGCAATTATAAAACTCGTAACACGGATATAGCTGCTGGAGACATCATCTTACCACCATTTATAGTATTTTTATAAATACAAAAATGATGTGTATTCAAAATTATAAATCATAAGTATTGTAATTTTCACCGTCACATTCTTTCTTATGATTGAAAATAAAAGACAACAGATATTTCTCAAAAACCCTTAGATCAAAGACTATGGCTTTAGAATCGGAGCCACATTAGTGCTTTATACAACAAATTGAAACCAGAGAAGAAGAAATGAGCGTCTTCATGGGCCATTAAAGGAAATCCAACGCTTTTTTATGGAGTGGTGAAGATAAATCTGCTGTAGGAGTAACGCATTCAATTGTCCAAATTAAAATTATTTGTGAAATATTAATACATCTTTTCTTTTAATGTCTTTATATTTATCTCTTATAAAATATCTGGTGGTTTTTTTTCATATTTTATCGTTTCATAAATGGTTGCCTGAATAAAAATTATAGGGATGATTTTTCATTCAATTCAGATTTTTATTTAGATTTAGAATTGAAAATAAAGTAATTTAATAGACCTAATAAAAATTAAAAATATAATTTTTTTAATATTACAATCAAGAACTTATAACAACTCACAATCTTTCAATTGTTAGAGGCTAATAATAAGTTTTAATCACTCATACTCTAGAATTTAAAGTAATTTTAAATCAATAAGTTTAAATTTAGATAACTCATCTTGCTATTAATTATAAATAATTTAGTATTGAGATAATCAAACTCCATCGATTAATATATATTTATGGTAGAAATAATATTATTAAAAAAAAATTTACCTAAAAATTATATATTTATTCTCACCACAACACTATTATAATTAACCAAAAATAAAATTATATATTTATTCTCACCACAACACCACTATAATTAAAAAAGCACCACTATAATTAACCAAAAATCAAAAAAAAAAAATTGATAGTGTTATTTCTACGGTAAAACATCTTTCCTTTTAGCATATTTGAGATAATTTTTTTATCAAATAATAATAAAGAGGCCAAAATGAAATGCAAATATATTTATATATGAAAAATTCGACAGATTTTTTTGTAAATCTCCATTTATATATATAAAAAAAATGAATAAAAGAATTCCAATTGTAATATTAAACACACTCAATTTATATGGCTAGCAGGCACAAAATGATCACGATGGGCTTTGTATAAGCAAAACACACGTCCTTCAATAGGCATCCGTCCCACTTTCTCCTCAATTTTCTCTTACTTTCTCACTCGAGGAAATCCCACCATGGCAGAATGGAACCATCTACCAAAAGACCTCATGGAACTAATTTCCAAACGCCTAGACACCTCCACAGACCTCCTCCGTTTCCGTTCCGTCTGCAATTCATGGCGATCCTCAATCCCCCCTGAACCTCCCTGTTTATCTTCAAACACCTTCAAGATCCTCCCTAGCGACGGTATCTCCCACACCTCTTTTGGGTTTTCTCTGTTCAAGCGAACTGTGTTCCTTGTTGGGCTACCGAATTCCCTTAACCAAACAGACACACAAGGCTGGCTTATCAAAATCGAAGAAGATGTGCCTGGTAAGAAACACTTGTTTGATCCTTTATCGAGGTGCAGGTCAACGTCTTTGCCTAATAATCTTCCTCGTGTTCTAGATTTAATGAATCTAAGAATTCGTGAATTGGGTCATGAATATGTTTTGCATCATGTTAATTATAAGCCGAATTCGTCTCGTTTTACTGATTCCGGTAATTTATATATGGAGAAAGTTGTGATGACTTGGTTAAATTCCAAAACCGAGTTTGTATTGTTAACTATTCATGCTTCTGGAAAATTGGCCATCTTTAAGAGTGGGGATAAGAGATGGACTATTATTAATGAAATGGCATCGCCTTTTGATGATGTTATTGTTTATAAAGGGAGGTTTTATGCTGTAGATAATATGGGGTGGACTGTGGTAGTTGCAATGGATACGAATTTGGGTTTAGTTGGGAGTCCGATTTTTGGTGGGGATAAGAAGTATTTGGTTGAGTCGAAGGGAGATTTGTTGTTGGTTGATATGTATTTGAGTATTGATTCTGATGAAGGGTTTAGTATCAGTTATGTTCTGCAGGATATTGTTCGGTATATGGGTGAGAGGACGGTTTGGTTTAAGATTTTTAAGTTGAATGAAGAAGGGAAATGTTGGATTGAGGTGAATGATTTGGAAGATCGCGTGTTGTTTCTAGGTGATGATTTGACGTTTTCTGCATCGGCTTCTGAGCTTTCTGGGTGTAAAGGGAATTGTATCTTTTTCAATGATGATTTCTTTTATTCGAGGGGGGAAGGAGATGATGGATCATCGTTTGGTCGTGATATAGGTGTGTTTGAATTGGAGAGTGGTTGTATGGGACCTTTAAGAAATTTTCCTGATTATTCCAAGATGTTCTGGCCACCTCCTGATTGGGTTGCTTCAACCTCATTGGAAGTAAGTCTTCATTTTCCCCCCAGTATTACTGTTTACGTGAAATTTCAATTTTATCTTCGCATGCTAGCTTTATCCTACTTGGATTTTGCTATTTACTTCCATAGGTCTCTCAATTTGTTCGGTATGCAGTTTGGAAATGTTTTAAATATTCATGTCTTGATAGTTGTAGTTGCACTGAACTTGACATTTAATTGGGAGGGGGCTCATAGTTGTTTATTAAATATATCCAAATGGCCCTTGGCATGTCACAGGCCATAGTTGATGCTTGGTGAGCAAACTAGAACAGGGTATTGAACATAGGTATCAATCCATGGGGCGGAGGGGCCCATTCTAGGTGAGGCATTTAGGAATGCCTATTCTGAAACCATCAATCTCTACAAAGATTAATTCTGGCGAGAGCACTTAATGTGTTTGCAATGAAGAATGGCAACAATGCCCCAACATGCTTTCTTATACATTTGCGCCATCATCAATCTACATCCCTCCATTGTGTAGGCTCGGGACAGATCCTTCTGCTTCTCTTTATCAACCTCAAATATGATGAATGACAAACTAAGACTGCCGATTATATGCCATTTTTGAGTGGGATAGCATGGGTCACCAATCAACTTCCATAATTAAGACTTTTTGAAGAGAGCTGTTGAATTATTTAATCTCAAGGCAACACCATGAACTAATTTTGAATTTTTATATGAAATTATTTAATTTCAAATTCTACTTGCATGGAAGTCCTTTTACTTTTTTCCAATTTATTGGTTTCTTTGTGAATGCTTAACCTCTGTTGCCAAAATACAGAATTTCTGCTGCTTTGGTAGTTGGTAGCAAGAAATCCTTGGCTCACTGTTTCCTTGATCTAAACAGTTAATTAATTGTTGATTGTAAGCTGAAGTGGCAAATATTTTGTGCTGGACAGTAATGACATGTGCCTTGCAATTTGATCATCAATTTAGTGAGTTGCATACTATCGAGTTGCTTTTGGACAATCATCATGCATTAGCACGCCTGCCTGCATACCCAGTATCACTTGCGCGTTCAATTTATAAACATTCCCCAGCTTTATTTTTATCCATGTAATGGCATGTTTGTTTCTGATTTTGTGGGTGCAACAGGTGCAGAATCAAAATCAACTGGAAGATCTGTCTATAGCAAAGTGAAGAGTAGGTTTCCTATTTCATGACTGCCCTGGTAAATATTTGCAGAGCTGGCTGCTCGTAGACTGTCCATTAATGTAGTTACTGATGACTTTTTAAGGCTGTCCTTCATGCGGTGATAAATCAAGTGCTGTAGTGATCAGCTGGAATTTCCTGTGATTTTGTTAGGAGTTTAATCAGTGAACGTCTTCCATTTTATCTGTGAATTTCAAAAAAGTTCAAGAGGCATGAGCCTTCCATCTCATATTGGTCGAGAGCCTGGCAGCAGTTGTTCAGTCGAGTAAGCGGGTGAAATCTCATAACCACCCACTGTGGAAACTTATTGCTTTGATAGCAAGAATCAAATGACTCTGGATTCAGAAATAAACTTAATTCCATGCTAATCAGTTGTATTGACTCCTCACTTTTTTGGTTCTTTTAACTGATACTAAACAAGTTAGATCCACTGAGTTTGGATTTTCTACATACACGGATTCAAGTATTGCCTCGTTACGCCATTAAATATGTTTAGACATTTCCATGAATTTAAGCTGTAGCTCATAAACTGTATGGCTGCAAGGGCCCGCCATTAACAAAAGATAAGAGTATCTCATGCACACGTTGAAATGTCGATTGAAGTTCCTCTCCTCCAGTTTTGAGTTTTGCCAGTTCAGGTTATATAAAATCAGCGCTGCAAACCCAATAGCACAATTTTTGCATAGAACACTTGGATAGCGATCAGGTGTAGCCTAGATTGGGACAAGCTAAAACCAAAGCTCCAATCCATTCGAGCTGAAATTTCAAATTACTCTCCAAATCAGTATGCTATCATTATTCGTTGCTTTGTGGCAGACCATTTCTTTTTTTAGTCGCTGTGATCTTTTCCAGTGTGCATAATTGGCTGATTCAAGGGAGAGAAAAAAAGATCATAATTTTTTTTTCTGACATAGATAAAAGTAATATTCCCTCAATTACAGCTTAATTGAAACGGACGTGATAAAAGATTTGGAGCATGATCTTTCTATTGCTAAACAATATACAAGGCTAGATATGAATCCTACAAACTCCCATGCAAGGAGGCTTCCAGATCACAATAATGCATTTCTTTGATAGCATTGATACAACAGTTGGCAATCTCACCAAGGTTGGGATGGTGAGAGCTTCGAAGTCAATCTCGTTCAGGAGCATCCCCAGAAACTCTTCTTGAACTGATGTTGCCAGCATATGACCAAACCCTCTCGAAGTCAGGTGACAACGGTTTTTCAAACTTTTGATCGGATGCTTCCTTAGGATTGCCCCTCTTTTGAGAAGGTGGCACCCTTGCTGGGCTTCCAGAAACTGGAGTAGAAGCAAAATAAGTTGGGGTTCCATACGGAGAGGCAAAGGGGCTTTGTTTGATTGAGAAGGGGCTAGGAGACATTCGCTTCTGGATAGGGTGGCCTCCTAATCCTCCTCTGTTGAAGAGGGATATGGATTCTGCTGCAGCACATTGCTTGGTGGCATCATCAACAAAAAGAACATCGTCTATCCTTGCCATAATGTTGAAGGCCAAGCTCTCCGTAACTCTCGAGTAGCTTTCAAGAATTGACTGCCCAACATCCTGCACGAAAATAAACCTTTCATCATCTGAAAAGCATGTCCAACATGTGCAGAACTGTTGCTGGATGGTCTAAAACAGTGTGTGTGATGAACTTAAAGGTCCCCTTTTGTACATTTTCCAAGTGACATGCATTGGGATTAGCTATTCAACTGCCAATATATCCTGTTTACATGCATATGATAAATCAAAATGAATGCAACAACAGAATTAGTCTGTTGAAATATATATTTGTTACTGCAGTATTTTGGATTGAGGGATTCACCACACATTATGATGCATCATTATTTGATGATGTTGGTTAGGAGAATCAAGTTAGAATTCTAGATCCCAACTAATAATTGAAGCAACTACCTTGTTATATTGAATCTTGTTCATATCCAAAGCTGTTTGTGGGAGGCCAGGGTAACGAAGCCTTAAGCTCTGCAGGAGAGTTTCAGCTCGTTGGGCCAAAATCTGATTCTTGTGTGTATCTGCAACAAAGCCCTTGACCTTGCCACCCCATGATGAGTGCTTAATATTTTTGTTATGGATATGTTTTCTATGATCTTTCTGCTTCCAGATATGCACTGCTGCCTCAACTCTGTTTGCTATTTCCAGAGCATGATGCTCTGTTGAAAGGTCAAGGCAATCAAGGAGACATTCTGGTGAGAACTTCTCGGCAGTTATGTAGCGGTAGATGATATCACCAAGGCAAGCTTTACCATTCTGATAGCACCACAAAAGAAAATACAGCATGCTATGAATTTAGCATCCAAAGCCACAATAGCAAAATAAAAATAAGAAGAAAAAAAAATCAAGGTGTGTGATTTAGATGAAACCTTTGGTTGCGTTGGTTAGAGAGATGCAAAGGAACATAAAAAACCCTCCTCCAAATGTAGTTAATCATATTGACAAGAAAGGCTGGTTGCAGACAAAAAATGAAACGAAGGCAAGACATGCATGCTGCTGGGGATGTAGTTGTACTAGTCCCATGGACATATTATTTCAAAATACAGAAAGACAGTTACCTTGGGCAAGGTCTCCATATAAGCAGTGGGTATTTCCATCTCAACCAGCACGCTGCTATTAATAGCCATTGCTGCCTTCAATATCTGACTGGTGCAATCTCTGCACTGCTGCAACCTCTTCCTTGCATCTTCTGACAACCCATCTGGCGGCACTTTTGGACACGGCAACCACCATTTGTCTTCCTGCCTAATAGAAGGCCTCCCACCAGAAATACCCGATGGATATGTATCAGAGTCACCACCATCACCCACAACTATCCCCCGATCAACATACCAAAACTCCGTTTCACTAAAACCATCAAGCATAGTAATCAACATAGCATCAAGCTTCTTGAGTGCAGGCAGATTCACATATAAATCCGAGCGTGGTCTAGTTGCCATAACCTCATAAGTTCCCCCACCAGGAAATTGTTGTATCGAAGGTACAAGCTCAACAATCGAATCACTAACACATAACAACCATTCCATTTCCCTTTTCCACATGGACTTCTTTTGCAGCGCCAATGGCTCCAACCTCCACAACTCGCCGAAAACAGTGGCTTCAATTATAACCCAAAATTGAGCTTTAATACATATGGGCATCACACAAACTTAACATAAATACAGAAGAAGAAAAAATCCATACATACCAGATAGATTTGTGATGGCATTCGAGATGGCAAGTGCAGTACAGACTCCTTTACCACCACCAGACATGTCCTCTCCTAGAAGCAGCTTAGCAAATCTCTCTTTCATCATTTCAACCTCTGCAGTACGCACAAAAAAAAATCCAGAATATTGAACTATCGAGAACTATATTGAATGGATAAAAAAAATCTTCAACTGGCACATAATTAGGCCTTCACTTGACTATTTGCATTATAATTCTTTAGTAAGAAAATCAATAAAAATTATTTGTTTCTTTTTTTTACAATAATAAATGAAAGCTTAATCTCTCTCTCTCTCTGTTTTTTTTTTTTTTGAGGAACCAGAATTATAAAATTAAAATCTCAAAATCCATCTCTTTATCTTCCTTTAAAAAAAAATGAAAAAAAATTATCTTCTCTGGCAAAAAAAATTAACAAAAAAATGAAGAATAAGAAACCTCCAAAAATAAGAAAAAAATATTACCAGACAAATCAGAGTCTCCTCGTTTCTCGTTCTTCGAGTCCCAGACCACCACATCCTTACCACCAATAACCGGGACCATAACCGGCGCCGGGAAACAGAAAACTCCAGGCATCGGACGCGGAGATGAGGTCATCGAACTCGACACAGCGCCGCCGCCGCCGCCATCACGACCAAACCCTCGCCGACACGAGAAACTACTCGTACTGGTACAACTTTCAGACTCGCTGACGTCAGCACTCAAACTATAGCTCCCACACCTCTCACTACCACCTCCATCATCATCAGAAGACACGCTACCCATCATGATAAAAATGAACAAGATCAGACGGTCATAAACCAAGATCTCTCTCAACTGCTGCTCATTGTACGATCAATGCAACTGATTAACTGAAAATGTGAGCAAACCAAGTGTGTGTCTCTCTCTATCTCTAGAGATGTGTTTCGCTTGTCTCTATAGAAGAATGTGCTGATGTTTGGTGGTGCTTCTTTTTGCTTTTCTTTTTTATTCAGTTATGTGAGTGAATAGTGAGAGTAGTGTGATGGGATAAAGGTCTGTGAGAGGAAGGGAGACAGAGACGGAGGCAGACGTTTGCTAACTATAGTTTTGTTTTTTCTTCTTTCCGTAACATGAGGGTTAAGCACCCGACACGCCTTCCTTTGTAGTGGGGCCCATCATGTTTACTTCTTCTTCTTCTTCTTCTTTAATTATTTGCTAAACCCGCAAACATGATTTTAATAAAAAAAGGAAATAACTTGAATTTTAATTGAATTCTTAATTATCTTTTTATTTAGAATTGAGGTTATTTGTGCGTCACTGTATTAAATTAATATTTTTCTGGTATATAAAAAAACAAATATGATTTTAATATGGAAAAAGATTAATCATTATATAATATATATATATATATATTAAAATAATCTAAAAATATAAAAAATTAATTTTTTCATATTAAGCTCCAAGGCATTTTCTTGATCTTGATGGTATATTCAAGATAACTTTCCAAATTCAAACCTTCCTCTCTAGTTTTATTCAAACGAATCTCTTCCAGATCAACACATAATGAAGAACAATCTCTTTATATATTGTAGATACTCGTATTTTGTCCATGCCCATTATTTCATCTTGATCTTTCTCTTTTTAAAAACTACATTAACACTTTAATTCAAATTTTATTTCAGATAAAATCCCATGGACGGCTTGGTTGGAAAATCATATGGATTAATTGATAGGAATTATAGTGTTCATGGGCTCATTAGAAAAAGTAGTAAATCAAATAGGACGTTGTGAGTACGGCATAAATAGAAAAGAGGGAGGTTATAATTTATTTTTTGATGTAGAATTAATTTTTTTATATTTTTGAATCATTAACATGTTAATATTAAAAATAAATTTAAAAAATAAAAAATATATTTTTAAATATGAATTTTTTAATAGGTATGGTGGATGTTTACAGCGATGTGACAAAGGAAAGGGCGATGTGGAGGTAGGAGGAGATGACGAAGAAATGTGGAACCCAAGGCAATGATGATTTGGTTGGCAATGGAGGGGAAGAGCCCCCAGCGTACACATGAAACGTGACGGCGGTTTGTTTTTTGGCCGGACAAGGATACAAAGCAAGCGTCCTCAGTTAATGAGCCATGGGCTTGTGTTTCAAAGCGTCTGATTAGGGTACCAGTGCTTTTATAATTTTAGTTTCATCATTTTCAGTGCAGAAAGAAGTCAATTGATTTTAATTAATCTTGACCGGTAAATCACAGCTGGACCCTCCAGCTATTAAATATGTTTCGATTACATCCCTCGACCATAGAACTTCTGATGAACTCG